GTCCAGCATCCTCGAAAAGGATTGCTCACAAAGATATGTTGTAACAAATGGTATAAAAAAATCCAGGGCTTTCTTAGCAATAACTGGATACTTGTTCATTTGTCGACACCAAAACGTTGAGAGCGTTGTTGTTCTGAAGAGTTGCCGTTGAACCTGGCTCTGCTGAATTTCAATGATTTCGTCGAGGAATTCATCATTGACATCTGCTGTTTCAACAGCAAACGTGAACGGCTGTCTCACCCATGCTGGATATGATTCTCTTGTAGGGAAATATCCGTCGAGAGACTTTGCAAGCTCATCTAAGTGCGTGGCAATTGTTTGCTTCAGTTCCGTGGATACAGAAATATCTCCGATTCCAGACACATCTTCGATCTTACTTGCACAGTCGTCCAGAAGCGGGAAGTTTGCGAAGTTATTGTTCTCTGTTCGTCGTTTCCATAACGGTAGCTTTTTTTGACAAGCCTTCAGGTGTTCTTCCGCTTCCATGATATTGACTCCACCACCCTGCATCTGCTGATTGAGATGATTGAGAGCTGCGAATATATCAGCCATGTACGCTAAAATGAGAATGAACTCAGGATTTTTGGAGCAATCTGCATGGCAGTGTTGGTGCTCTTGCAAAAACAGGGCTAATTCCACACGCATGGCAAAAACACGATTCAGCACCTGTCCCCGGGATAACCACCGAATATTAGAATGGAGCAGAAGTACCTCAAATTCAGAGCCCATTTCTTTACACAGCTCACTGAAGATGCAGTGCCTCAGAGCACTTTTTCGCACATAGTTCACACATTCCACCACAGTTTTTAATACTTCTGTCATTTTTGGAGGTAAGGTTTTTGTTGCCAACGCATGCCTGTGCAGAATACAATGCGTCACAATGATGTGTGGTGCATCGGCCTTTACTAGCGCACCAAAACCAGACTTTCTTCCCAGCATGACTGGAGCTCCGTCCGTACAAACTGCAGAAACCATATCCCATGAAAGATTGTTGTCTCTGAAGAAGTCATCCACAAGCTTCTTCACATCGGCTGCCTTCGTTGTTGTAAGAGGCTTACAAAATAAAAACTCTTCTTTTATCATGTCGTCTTTCACATAGCGTACAAAAACAGCAAGCTGGCTTAGATCAGAAACGTCTGTGGTTTCGTCGAGTTGAAGGCTGAATTTTGCCGGGCTTGAAATCAGATCCGCGACTACTTGAGCCAAGATGTCTTTACTCATGTCTTCTATTCTGTGACTGACGGTGTCATTTGAAAGGGGAATTTGGGATAATTTACCTTCGGCCGCTGTTCCGAGTATCAGATTCGCCATCTTTAATGCAGCTGGTTTCACAAGTGTTTCACCAATGGTGTGTGGCTTGCCCTGCTTTGCGATCAGGTAAGCAACTTCGTACGATGCTGTCAGGATCGGTTTGTTAACAGGTACAAATCCAAGAGCAGGCAGAGTGGCCCTTTCATCGAATCTGGCTCTCTTCACCCTGAATTCAGCAAGTGTTGTGTTCTTGTATTCCCCGTCTCCATGCAGCTTCAAGAAGTGTTCCTTTAGTTTTGCCGGTGCAAGACTAGAGTTGCTCAACTTGGCGTTGCAAATCATGCAGATAGGACGCTCACTCCCATCACGTTCCGTGATACATGAGAATCCATGTTGTACATATTCGTCCGACCACTTTCTTCTTTTGCCCGACATAGTTAGTATGGATAAAATATTAAAGAAATCACACGACGTACGACAACAACAGTCACACGTTGACTACTGAGTACGCACTAAATTCCCCGCAGCGCTGATTGGCCAAGCAGTGTAGCATGATCATCTGCAGCCAGTGATGGCCAAGCGGGCCGTGTGTGTCATCACAAATTTACACAATAATTCAAGTGTGTCCGGACCTCCGTGGCGGGGGCTCTGCCGAACCCCTGAGATCGACTCACCGAACCCCTGGGGTTCGATCGAACCCAGGTTAAGAACCACTGTGTTAATGTTATAACCAAGACACGTATTTATTTGCTATTTTCACAGGGCGGAATGAACAAAAATCACATTTTGGCTCCTAAAAACTGTTACAATGACTTGTTTTTGTGGATCCTAGCAAAAACTAAAAGTATTTCCTACGAAGATATTCTAAAACAAATTTATACTTTTATCCATTCTGTCCCCATTTCATCAAAATCCAGCCCTAAGCTGCCTGACTATTTGGATAAAAAAGCATTTTATGTAGCTGCCATAAAGTTTTGGAACCACCGAGTTTCGTCTGTTGACATTTCCATTCTGTCATCTCTATCATTTAAACTGATTATATAAAAATTTAAGTGAATGCAATTTTACAATTGCTACAATTAAGTTTGTTTTTTTAAATCTGTAAATGTGAATGTTTTATGTTTTCTCCGGCCGAGTCGCCCTTGAAAAATTGCTTCTTAGTTCAATGGGCTTTACTGAGGAAATAAACTTATGATTGTCTTTTTCAATGCACGTATGTTTATGTCATCAGTTGTAGACTAATATATAGAGCTTATTTGCATGCGTGCACTACTTCTTTTTTGAAACCTCTTCCTGTAATATATTTGCACTGTTTATTTATTTACGTGTTTCCTTATGACCTTGTTTGTTAGTTGTGTAATATTCCTTAAAGACCCTGTATTTGGTCTCTACAAATTAACATATTTGTCTTTTTTTTCCTGCTTTGGTCATGAAGCAAGAATTTGCCATAGTGAGTGAGCACAGCAGCAACTAGCTAGAAAGGATCGTTCGTGTAATACATCAAAATAAATTCAAGAGTTACATATGCAACGTCTTCCTCTTGATCTGAAAATGTATTTGGATTCTGACATCTCATTTTTTGGCTGCAGAATTGTATTAAAGCAGGTTTGTTTTTTGTTGCAGAGGTTCATGGTTCAAATTAATCAGCTGCCTTGATTATTCTTGTGGGTGTAATAAACAATAATATGCACCACCTACTTCACAGTGGATGTTAAAGATCAGCACACAATGTTCGAAAGAGTAGACCATTGTGTGCTGTCAGGGTCCAAATCTGTCAAATGCAAATCACTAAATTGAGATTACATAAGGCAATAATGAGCCTGCCAACTACTGGCAGACTAATGCCCCAGGTCACTCTTGCAAATGAGACTATCCTGATCTCTTGAGTTCTCATCTGATTAAATAAAACGCAAGTATCATGGTTCTATATTTATTCATATGGGCTACCATTGTGATTGGATATCATCCTTTTTGTTACTTTCATGCTTCCAATGCTTGCTTTTGACATCTATTTTTTATAGTGTTCTCTATCTTTTCTCATTTACTAATCATTTTGCGTATTATGGTACATTCAATCTTTTATTTAGCATCTCCGTCTTTTCTCGTATTCATCTTTATTAAAATGTATTGCCCTTTGTGATTTATGATTATTTGTTCTCTGCTAATTATATATTTCTACCCACTTTCAATGCATTATCCATTCCTGGGCGAGTTACTGTTATGTTTAAAGTGTTTTTAAACAAGGAAGTTAACTTGAAAAATATAGGTCAGGAGGGAGTTTATTTTAGATGAAGCAATCAATTACAATGTCTAGAGGAGCAAAACAATGAATATATGAACATATATGTAAATGTCACCTGCAGAAAAATTGAAAGAATGAAAGAGAACAAGACAGACCCCACAAGACAATACTAATGAGATAGTGCACTAGACCCGAAGTCTTTAGTTTGATTCCCTGACACAAGTAAAATCAGTGGTGATTAATATCTGAACACATCTTGGATGCCTCATTCCACTGACCTGTTCTGACCACACAGCCACCTCGCTCGTGGAGCTCGAGGTTGCTACTCTGCGATCTCCCATTAACATGCAAATCTCTCAAATTAACATGCTAATCTCACATTAACATGCTAATCTCTCACATTAACATAGTCACCTCAGGGCGCTGGCTGTGGAGGCCGCTCAACGATCTTACATTAACATGCTAATTTTTACTTGGCAGCCCTTTGGTGGAAAACCCACCACGGTCGCAGTCGCTGCCTACTACTTACGTTAAAAATGGCTGCTGACATATGGGCTACGCCCATTTCAAACCTTTATAAACAGTTTACCTTTAGAAGCTAACCCCCTCTTCATGATGATGAACGCTTGTGTTGCGATTGAAACGTCGTAGTTTCTGTTATGTTTTGTTATTTTCTTTGAACCTATCTATGTGACTTTACCGAAAGACCAAAATAATATGTTCTGACCAGTTTGGTGTATTATGGTAAAATAACCACCAAGACCGATATAAGAATTAATCTATCAAGGCATTATATTTTTTGTATCGGATGTATGTTAGCTTTAGGCAAATAAAATAAAACAGCAACAAGGCTAAACGTGATGATATAAATGATACAGTACAAACAAGCATCCCAAATGATAACAATTTTATCAAACCACGTGGGGTGAGGGTGGGGAGGAATGACACTTCACTTCCCAACTCAAAATGTCCACGTTTCTTGTAAATCATACTCATAACATTTTAGAACTAAACGTATACATTCAAATTCAACCTAATTACATTAATCAGTCATTTATGTTAAGTGTTAAATACTTTTTTACGTGTAGATAATTGGTGGTCTTCATTTGAATTTGTCCTCCCTTCTTTTAAATATAAATTCTAATAATGCACAGCCCTGTGTCGAACCACTACTGGAGGCCCCCCCACTTAGTGCCTGTCACGGGGATTGTTTGACTATATATCACCATGTTTCTCAGTGCGAATTGATGAAGGAAAGGGACGAGGACCAGTTCAGATATTACTGATGTTAGCCGTTGCCAGGAATCGAACTCAGATGATCAGATTCTTAGCATAATGCACGAACCACTTCTCTATCGCTTCTCGCGGTGTAAATCGACTAGTCCCAATTTCATGTGTATGTCCGATGTACAAGTGCCCATTCTTGTGTTTAAATATGCATCTTTACCATTGTAGTGCTGGCAGTGGGTGTCAGATGAAAGCTGTAAGTGAAAAAATAAATCCTCACCCTTCCAAGGCCTGGATATGAATGAAGTCCTCTTCATTTCCATGAGGACAAAACCTGATGCATGTTTTCTTCTCAAACTCCTGTTTCGCGCTATTGATAGCTTCTACATCATAATCATCTGTTTAAAAGTAGAATGGCATTAATATTGTGCATATGTACGTTATCGTTATGACAAAATTTAAGTCAGCATTCTATATAATCAATAACGTAGCATACTTAGTTAAGTTATTGATTTACTGTATTTTAAGCAATATGTAAAATTAAATAGGGACTTAAACCAGCGCGAATATACACAAGAATAGTTTATAAAATTAAGAGTTCTGCTAAGCTTCCAGGAGTTGTCAGGAAGAAAAAAAATCAGAGAAGACTAAGTCAAAATATCATGCATAATTACTCATAAAGCTGTGTGACTTTGAAACATCACATCTTGGTTGATATTCTCTTTTAAAAATTAGCCATAATACATGCAAATAAAGCTGATAGCATAGCTTGAATTACTAAGCCACCCAATTTCCTACAAATGTATATTCATAAATATACAAACAAATAGTCTTACATCTATATTACCAAAAATAAATGTAGCGTAATGCCATTTTAGAAAAGGAAAAAAAAACATAGAAACTTTAAATATCCAAAGATTAGGTGAAAATTAGCACATGGCTTTGCTTGTCTGGCATGGCTTGAAAATTCAAACAACCATTGCTGTACCTTTTAAAATTTGAATGAACAACTTTGTTGTTGACAAGTGCATGAGGTAGGAGTCATATCTATTTGACTGCATTTGTTAGAGAACTAGACTAGTAGTGCAACCATAAAATTCATGTCTGGCCTTTGATTATACGTGCATGTGGAGAAATATGCTCATGTTGCAAGACAGGATGGAGTAAACAACTGGAAAGCTCGAGATCGATTTCAGATAAACTGTAAATCATACATGTAAATCATGCAACATGACAGAAGTACTATATATTTTATATATATTGTTCACTTTAGTTTCTTCCATGTATGTATGTTGGACTTCTTTTGCACCGTACATAGCCAACTACTATTCGGAGGTGCGGAGGAAGGACATGATCACTATTTTGCAGCCATATAATTCCATAAAGCTATCCATAATAAAGATGGTTTATATTGCCGTTGGCATGGCTTAATAGAATCACTCAAGCTGACAACATAAGAATATTTCCTTGTTATTGTTTATTATTTCTAATAAAGTTTACAAAAAACGTATGTCGCACTAAAGTGACTTTCTCCATATATATTCAATAATAGCACCTCATTCCTTTTGGATTGGATATCATCACAACATATAATCTAGATGGTAGAGTGCCACAATGCTGGTTTTTACGTATACATGTCTCTATGTGTGCTTGAAAATGAGGGAGAAAAAATGCACAGCACACTAGCTGGATATGGAAGTTCTCATTTTATCAAAAGAGTTGCATGGACAGCTAGTCTCTCTAGATTACCTTTGTGTATGTGAATTCGTTTTTAGGTTGATGCCTCACAGTATGGTGTAATAGCAGTAAATTATTGTTTGAATAATTTGGGAACAGTGTGGTTTCCTCATATACCCGGGTTCTCCATGAATACTTCTTAAAGTTGACCAAAATCTGGTTTATGAGCTCTGGGTGTCAGGGCAATATCTGTCTTGGTAACCTCATCATGCACACCTGCCCAAATGTTGCAACTTCCCATGTTATATTCTTAACTTTCGAGTTGCTTATCTTATCCTGTTAATTGTTTAACCGGGTGGTGGTGGCACACAACTGTAACCCAGCACTTTGGAGGCAAGGGTTGGAGGGTCACACATGAAAATCCCTTCCTGTGAGCATCGAGGTGCCATGTATAAACACTGGTTGATTTTCTGAAAAGATAATATAAAGAGGAATGCATATCTTGGGCAATTGTTGTCACCGGCTCACTGCCTGCCTGTATTGCCACTTGTCTGTTGTTATGTGTGCTTCTAAGGCATTCTATCTTTTTGAGGGTGAGAATTTATTGTGTGTGCTGCAAGCTGAAATTATTACGTATTGGTACACTATACATGCACCTATATTCAAAGTCCATAAGCTTATTTTCCATTTTTTTTTGCCTCTGACACGTACAGTGACACAGACACTATGCCCGACTCAAGTACTCTTGTAGATTTAATAGTGAAGTTGACTGCTCTACTCTTGCAAATTGATTTATATAGTTTGTCAAAAAACAGTCTCTTCACCTATAACCCCCTGTATTAAACACATGACTGCCTAAATAAACAATTCTGACATTTGTATTATTTAACTGATCTCAAGGCCTACGACTTTGTTGCAATGAAATGTGATATTATTAAAATAAATCTAGAAATAAGGATTGCTCACATTAAAGCCAAGTTGTAAGAATTTTGAGAATACTGGCACGAACAAGTGTTTAGAAGGACACACCTCTACAAATCCCTCCTGTACTTGTGTCGTGGGAAATACTTTTAATTGGTAATGGGAATGTAAGCCTGTACCAGGGAGTGGCATATTCTCGCAGGTGACCCTTAACTACTGCACTAATCAAGGTGCTGTAAAAGAGTTGTCACCCGAGTAACAGGTGCATGCAATGCGAATTTGGACATGTAATATGTATGATCTGATAACCGAGTTTGGGCAGTGACATGGCCTAGCAGGTGCGTTTGCCTCTTGTTGCAGAGGTTGACAGTTCAAATACAGCTGCTGCCATGGTTATTACTGGGGGTATAATAACCAAAATATGTCACCTGCTCCAAATTGGATTTAAAGATGTCATTACATCATTCGAAAAAGGTTGCCATTGTGTGCTGGTGTCATGGTCCAAATTTGCCAAATTTGAAAAATTACCTGCAAACTACTAAATTTCAATTTGCATAGCAATCATCACCCTGACTACATCAACTTGACAGGACACACCTGAAAAAGAGTGAGGCACTTCTGGGAAAATAAGCATAATATAATAACAGTAGACTTCGATCACAAGCAACATACCACATGGAACTTGTTTTACATTTATAAATGTGAGATGCATTTTGAAGCTAAATATGTCTCATGCAAATGCACTTGTATGGTATATATTATAAATGCATGTGTGAATGTCAATCCATTTTAAAAATGTAATACTTACAGAAGTCAGCCGACACCTTCACAGGAATGTAAACATTGCCATCATCATGCTGTGGCCAATGACACACTGTTTGTGATGAAAGTCCATCTTTGACTCCGCCACAACGAACTGGAGGGTCTGATAAAAACAAATACTTGAGTCATTCTTTGCAAGTGTAGGGCTGTTTTAGAAATGTACATGGAACTTTTAAACATTTGAAATGTATGCACAGACACAATATAGACCATAAATTTGGTACTGTAAACATCAGGATTTAAATATAGCATGTCAATCAATTTTTATTTGATGTGCCAATATCGCCTGCACTAAAGTAGGCACCAGTGCACATTACAAAAGAACGGGAATGGTACAGGTGGGGGCGTAGAGCAACAGGAATTAAAAAAAACTCGTCATGCCCTCAGCGGCTATCATCGACTGAGCAAAGTAAATTGTGCAACCATGCACAACGAATAGCATGTGAATGGTAAATACAAATAAATAAATAAATCGCATTAAAAATAAAGAGTTTTTATTTAATATTTTATGGGAAGTCAAGTCTGAATAGATGTGTCTTGCACAGATCACTCAATTGAGAGAAACTCGGCGCGTTTCGGGTGTCCGGTGGCAGTCGGGGTATTCCAGATATTTGGGGCAACACTCGAGAAGGCTCGTCCCCCCAGTGTCAGTTGAACAATCCTGGGCTGTACAAGTCTTGCTGTTTCCGTTGAATGGAGTGTACAGTATGAACCTAAGGATTGGAGGGAGATGTGGTGTTGCAGGTAGATCGGGGCCAAGCCACTCTGTGCTTTGTAGTTTAGGGAGAGCAACCTTCAATTGGATGCGAAAGCGGACCGGTAGCCAGTCCAAGCTGCGAAAGGTAGGAATAATGTGTGCACATTGGCTAACCCGCTAGATTACCTGGACACCTGCATTCTGCACTAACTGTAGTGTACACCAATCCAAATCGTAGCTCTGCATTGAGGGTGTTCTCATAATCCAGGCGTGTTGAGACAAAGGCATGGACGAATTATATCAGGTTTGGGGCAGAGAGCAGCGGGCAGAATCCTCGGAGTGTTCGGAAGTTTTAGAGACCTGCTCTGTAGCTGCGACCTGCGAACGCCTAGTCAAGCTCTGCTCGAACAGTACACCAAGGTTGCGCACTTTGGACACAGTGAGAGGGCGAGCTTCGTTAATCAGTGGAGCATCGATGTGGCCCTGCTATGCTTTCAAACGCCGCTCGGAGCCGACAATCATGTACTCTGTCTTGTCCGGGTTTAGCTTCAGCAAGTTTTGCTCCATCCAAACAGCGACTTCAGAAACGCCTTCTGATAGGGTAGAGATCGCGGCATCTGGATCTGACATAAAATATATGTAGATATGAGTATCACCAGCATATTGATGGCACTGAAGACCATGTCTATGAATGAAATTACCTAATGGCCTAACATAGACATTGAAAAGTCAAGTCTGGGGGCTAATAGTGAGCTCTGAGGTACCCCACATGCGGCAGGACCAATAGGAGAGGCACAAGGCTCCAAAACAACTTGGAAGGTTTTGCCATGTAGGAAAGAGGAAAGCCAGCTTAATGTTGAGCCTCCAATTCCAGCGTGGGACCTCAGGTGTCACAGTAGTGCCCCATGATCAATGGTATCAAAGGCAGCAGACAGGTCTAGGGTGACAATGGCAGATAGACACCCAATATCTATAGCCTGAAGGAGATCATTCATGATGAGTGCATTTGTTCAAGGGTAGAAAAATATTTCATATTTCCTAAATCCAGCTTGCCGATCTCTGGTCTCGGTTGGTCTCAGTTGGTCTCTAAAATATTCATTATCCCTGTTATAAACATGATAGGAAGCCATTGGGTCTGTAATTTTTCAAGTAAGTGTGTCTCCATTTTTTAACAGAATGATCGTGGCATCATTCCACAAATGAGAATTTTTTATTTTTGTGAAACATTTCTTCTTCTTGGGACATGACAAAACAATCTTGAGAGTCTTGTAGAGCTCACTAGCTTTCCTGGACGAGGGCACCCATACCAGGAAGGTACTCATTGAGAGGCGAGGCAAGTGTTCCTTCTTCAACCCGCACTGACCAGCGTGAAGTATTGACAAACCTCACATGACTGACATTACTAAACCACAGCCCCTAGTCCCCAGCAGCTCTGGATCCACCAGCCATGGTGTCAGACGGTGAAGGAGCAAGGTGCACAAAGATCACTGGGATGAACAGGATGCCTTCTGGATTTTACCATCGTTGAATAAATTAAACCGTTTAGAATTACATTGGGGCAAAGTTGGTATCCTCAAGGTAGGAAGTGGAGAACTCCATACTTCTGAAGAATGGAACCGTTTTTATTTAATGGAGGTGAGTTGATAGCTGATTCCTAGTGCGGGTGTATTAACTATGAAAACTACATGTCATCTGCTTCGAAGTGGATGTTAAAGACCATGTGACGTCTTTCACAAGAGCAGGCATTGCGTATCGGTGTCGTGGTCCACATTTGCTAAATTTGAAAAATTACCTGCAAATAACTCAATTTAAATTATATGTAACAAGACCACAGAGCTTGGCAACTGTTGGCACTGGTTTATAACTGCCTTTCAGCATGTCAGTCGTTCCCTGCTCTAATGAACTAGATGGACCAAATGGCCCATATGACATTATTACAACCGTCTGCTTCACAGGACGGGTTCTACAAGATTAGAAGGATGCCCTGGTGGTTCCATTTCTTTTCAAAGGGAGACCACATTTGATTGCAACAACTACCAGGGAATGCACATTCTCAAGTGTGCCAGGAAAGGTACTGGAAAAAAATCTTCAACATAGCCTTGCCAGACATGCTGAGAAGCTTACAGATGCCCAGTGTGGTTTCAGACCGAGGCGGTCCTACATGCATGTCATTTTCTCTGTCTGTATGCTAAAAAAGGTGGATAATTTCAACATGTCCTACATCTCTGTTTTATTGACCTTGTTAAGAGCTATGATACCACCAATGGGCCAGGGCTCTGGGTTATTGTTCGTGGTTTAGGAGTCCCAGACTATCTGCTCAATAATTTTGAACCTTCATGATGGTGGGCTGGCCTGGCTAAAGTTGTGTGGCCGGGTGTCGGAACCATTTTTTGCTAATCTTGGGGTGCCAGGAATATCCCCTGGCCCCTACACTATGTAACATCTTTACTCTTTGGTTCTATTGGGTAAAGTCACGTAGGTGAAAATCAAAAAACTAAAAATCACGACGTTTTGGCCACAACACAAGCGGCCTTCATCAGGTGAAGGGACGAGACTGTCTGGAGGACAGCGCTGATGAAGGCCGCTTGTGTTGTGGCCGAAACGTCGTGATTTTTTGTTATTTTATTTTCACCTACGTGACTTTACCCAATAGAACCAAAGAGTATGGATCCTAGCAGTCACGAAAGCTTTAAATCTAGAATATGTAACATCTTCTTTGACCGTGTCGTTCGAGAAGTTTTCCATGGATTTTCCGGTGGAATTTCCATCTGGTATAGATACAATGGGAGGTTGATCGATGCCCGAGTATCGGCAAAGGATGGTTATGTATGCAGATGATCTGGTGATTGCTGCCCAGTCATGAGGAGCTACTGCTGAACCTAGAGCATGCTACTGAGAGATGGAGCCTTACCATCAACCCCAAAAAAACAAAGCACCTGCCTGGGTATTTTATGTTATCAAATGTTTCCCTCCCTCAACTCCCCATGCATAATGGGGCAGTTGTGTATGTTGTATATATGCCCCCTTTTCCATCTTAATATTAACAAGTAATTTTTCGATACATATAGATGCATATTTCCATTGTTTTTTCATTTTAATAATGAATAAAAACAGTCCCGAGTCCCTCAGCAACAGCATGTGCAGGTCATGGATGGGCCATTGAATTAAATAAATAAATACTCCCAGGCTCAGAGGTCACCAACCAAGTGCTGGACAGTGAATTCCAAGGGACTGAGGTAAATACCCGAAGGCCAGGCCATTATCACAGGCTGTGTGCACGGGGGGAGCTAATTTAAACAACCGCACGGCTGAACGTGAAAAGGCCGTTGACCTGAAATTAAGAATAATACTGCCAGAGCAGAAGGTTGGATGGCCACGGTGAGACAAGAATAAGGGTGTTGTATATCTCTCAAGGACGCAGACTCAGCTAAACAGCATAAAGCTGCGGGGTTGACGTAAGCGGAGCCAGGGTCACTAAAAGTCCGCGTTAGCTTAGACATAGTTGTCAAAAAGCTCATGTATCCTGTGGTACTATTAAAGTAACGTTAAAGTTCGGGACTCAATGACAAAAGTGGGGTAACATGGTCAATCATCACACCCACTCCCATTGGCAACCAGTCAACCATCACCCGTCTATTAATTCAATATGAAATGTTATTTCCATACTTTAATAATTTCTATACAACTTGACTCGAAGCATATGACAATCAGCATTTTCCTAAGTCAAAAAGAATGCTATAACCTCCAGACATAAGCGAATCATAAGCAGAGTTAATATAAGGTTAGAGAGGAAAAAAAAACAAGCGCACAGCGAAACTGCAAACGTAAGCTAAACTGGGAAACCCAGGGGCGTGGAGAAAGAGGCAAATGAATGCCAGTTTGTGAAGCTGACCTCGGGACGCTAGAGATAAGAATAAGAGTGGCATGAATCAAACAACTCATTATCACTGCCACCTGCACTCAACAAGGCTGAAAACAGCTGAGTTCCACTTAATAAATGTCAAAGCGGGAATCATTGTATTATACTGATCAATAATACGAGGGGAGACGAGACCAAGTTGACACTAGCATAACTGCATACGATTGATTGCCTTATCCCGATTGATAACACCACCTCGTCAACGAGGTGGGGCCTGATTATCATAAAGGCTATCATTCACATAACCACACCCATTTGTATAAATTAATACGATTACCTCTCGAATTAGCATAATTTATATGCATAATTACGCACATTAATATAATTTCGGATTAATTATGAACATTTCAAATTTCATTTAATTTTCATTATTTTCATCAATTTCCACACACCCACATATACAACATGTAGAAAGTGAAGAAGTCTCCATACTTGGGTAGTGTGCTTATGACCAGATCCAGTTTGGCAGCCGAGGTCTCACTCTGCA